ACTGAGCCCTCCCACTACTTAACATTGTGGTCCTCATTTCAGCCACACATGAGGCCAGGTGGAGAGAGAGGAAGGGCTTTGGTTGTGGCCTTAGGGGAATCACCTAAATGCTCAGTGGTCCTGAATCTGGTGACACACCTGTTCCCAGATCAAGCATAGCTTTAGTTAGTTACCCCTGTCCTCACAACCACCACAGCAGGCTATGATCTGACAGGAAGCTCACTTATTAGCCATACACCTCATGAAGCCCAGGAGCCTGGGTGAGGGTGGTGCAGGGAGGCTCCTCCTATGGCATTGGCTAAAGAAGGATCCTAAGTCACCAAGGAGATTCCACCTAACTAAAGCCATCTATCCCTCTGCCCTGCCTTGCAGAGCCTGAGTCCAGAGATACCCAAGCTGTACAAGGACTGGGCTGGGCCAGTGGCATCTCTGAGTCACAGGGAGAGAGGATGGTGGGTGACTCAGCCCAGGCCCACTTCCCCTCCTGCAAGGCCAGCCTGGGTGGAGTCTGGGGCCGGGAAACCCTGTGCCTGTCCTCTGAGGTCCTCCCTGTCCACCCCTGATCCAGCCATAGACCGACCCTTCCTGCAGCCCTGCTGGCTGGCACAGTGGCCCTTTGTGAATTCTGGTTATGTGAAGGAATGAAAGGAATGAATGATTCCTCCCTGAATCCTAGTCCCAGCCTGGTCTAGCACCCCACCCTCACACAAAAGGGAGACATTTTCCAGATGAATCTGGAACCCCAGAGGAAGTGGGTGACAAGCCCAAGACAGGGATTGAGCCAACTGGCACCATCACCTCCTTCCTCACTCCTGGACCTGCCTCACCAAGCTCCTCTTTTGAATCTTCTCCATAGGGATCACATCAACCCATTTTTTAGGCCTGGAAGCTGAGGCTCAGAAAGGGGCGGCCCACTATGAGATGGGCTGAGCAGGGTTAGTCCCAGGTCTTCCCACAATAGGCTGGGTCCTTGTGACTTTTAGCATATGGTCTCAGGGGAGGTAGTGGGGCAAGGGGAGGCCTCTGAGAGGTAACATGACAGCCAATGGGGGCCAGCTAGTAAGGAGGCTCTGGGCTACCTCTAGGCATTGGGATTCCTGTCTTAGCTTCCCTACAGGAGAGCCCTGCTCCCCTGCAAGGCCTTTCACCATCAGGCCTCCTTTTTGGTTATCTCTTCTAAAGGAGAGTTGCATGTTTGGGTTTTCTCCCTCAGGCAAGGGTTTAGCTATAAGAAGAGAGGAGTGTAAGAAGAGCGTACCAGACAGAGGGAACAGCATGGCCACAGCTCTGGTGTGAGGGCTGGCACGGTGGGGACATGAAAGCAGTCAGTGACGCTAGAAAGCAGAGCCAAGGGAAAGAAAATGGAGGGCTGGGTAAGGCCACAGGGCCAGGTCCTAAGGGACTTATAAGTTAGGAAAGGAAGTTCTGACTTTGTCCCATGAGCAGTGAGGAGCCACAGAGTATCTGTGTTTTAGAAATATCCCTTCTGGGTAAAGAGGGCCGCATGGAAGATGGAGAAGAGGGGCTAGGGCACAGCTAAGGGATGGGTTGTAAGCCTGGATGGGTGCAGTGGGTAAGGGAGGATGTCCTAGTTTCTGTGTGTGTGTGGCCCACATCTCTCCCTACATTCCCCTGTCTGTGTCCCCAAAGAATGACACAGGTGTACAAGCAAAAATAGTTTATTTGAGGGCGGATGACCCAAAACTGGGGGGCCCAAGGGTGAGGCCGCAGCAGCTGCCTAGAGTTGGTACACACTACCTGACTCTCTAGAGGAGCCTGGCAGCAAAGAAGTCCTTCCCTGGGCCCCCTAGCTGCCTCCCCCGCTGAAGGAAGGATTGTGCAACCACCAAGAATCACCATCATCATCACCACTGTAACATGTTGAGGTCTTCAAAATTTGCCCAGCAATTTTTGGTGCTCTAGTTGATACTGATCCTAATAATTACTCCTACAAACACAGTGACTGTGCCAGGCTTGACCCACCATCCAGTAGTGAGCAGCGTCTGTGATGGGGGTGAGGCAGGCAAGGACAGGAGGTGGGTCTCTCTGGAGTCCCTGTTCCAGCCTCTGAAGCAGCCCTTCCAGAAGGTGCCTCTCCCTCCCATGGCCCCCAGAAGTGGCAGCTGCCTGTTCTCCACTTTTTCTATGGCCACTGGCTGAGGTTAGATTCAGTCTAGGGCTGTCCTAGGTAGGCCCTGAGCTCCTCCAGTCTCAAAGACCCTTGCCAGGCTGGTCCCTCCACCACAGTCTCCAGCGGGCAGCCCAGGAGGCCACAAACTTGCAGTTGTGGTAAAGGAACATTCCTGAAAGAGTCAGTGCAATGCCCACATAGCTAAGGGCACTGAGGCAGCTGCCAAATAAGAGCCGGGATAGGACGAGGTTGCCCACGACGGTGAGGTTGCCCAGGACATGGACGGTGAGGGCTGAGGTGAGGGCCAGCAGGGAGAAGCTGGCCAGGTTGTAGAGCACAGATAGGAGGCAGCTGAGCAGGATACAGGCCCAGAGGTGACAGTCATCAGAAGTGGGCGGCGGGGCCACACCAGCCTCCAAGACCAGTGCCGCACCTGCCAGCAGGCAGAAACTGGGCAGCGAGGTGGCATACAGCAAGGTCACCGCGTCCAGCCTTTCCTCCTGCAGCAGGGCACCTGCAACCAGGACAGCAGCCATCAGCACCTGGGGGAGACCACTACCACTTAGCCAACCTGGTATGACTCTATGGCTGATCCTACAAGAAGCCTATCCCCTACCCCTCAGTCAGGGTTAGTGGCTCCTGCTCTGAAGCAGGATAGTCAGCATCAGAGTCAAATCGCCTGGGTTTGTGACCTATGTCCACTCCTGTGTCCTATGCCCAGCTGTGACCTGGGCTCTTGAGAGTCACTTAACCTCTGGAAGCTTTGGTTTTCTCATCTGGAAAGTTGGGTAATCGTAAAGCCTAATACCTAGGGTTGTTGTAATACCTTATAAGGGTTTAAAATACCATTATAAGGTACATTTTCAGTAAATATTAAACATAAATAAGTCTCTTACTATAAGCCATTTCCCACAGGCTAAAACAATAATCTTGCTTAGGATAGCCAAATGATCAATAAACACAAGAAGCAACTCCAAAAAAGAAAAATTCTTCAGGTGCTATCCATGGAGGAAAATTTCCTAGGTTCTTAAGCCAGCTTTGAAGACCCTGCACCAAGTGGCCCTGACCACCTTTTGTGGCCTGAGCCCTTATCACACCCACCAGAACCCCACACTGTAGTTCTAACTAGCATAACAAGGATGGGCCAGCAGAGGGTCATGTGGCTTTTACATTAAAAGAAGAGGAGAGTTTTAAAATAATAAGTTGTGGTCAGGAGTGGTGGCTCACAACTGTAATCCTAGCACTCTGGGAGACCAAGGTAGGTAGATTGCTTGACCTCAGGAGTTTGAGACCAGCCTGAGCAAGAGCGAGACCTTGTCTCTACCAAAAAATAGAGAAATTAGCTGGGCATTGGTGGGTGCCTGTAGTCCCAGTTACTCAAGAGGCAGATGGATTGTATTGCTTGAGCCCAAGAGTTTCAGGTTGCTGTGAGCTATGACATCATAGTACTCTACCCAGGGTGATTGAGTGAGACTCTGTCTCCAAAAACAAAGGCTGGGCACAGTGGCTCATACCTGTAATCCCAGCACTCTGGGAGGCTAAGGTGCGTGGACAGCTTGAGCTCACAAGTTTGAGGCCAGCCTGAGCAAAAGCAAGACACCATCTCAACTAAAATAGAAAAAATGAGGCAAGAGGATTGCTTGAGCCCAAGAGTTGGAGGTTGCTGTGAGCTGGGACACCATGGCCCTCTACACAGGAGAATAGCTTGAGATTCTGTCTCAGAAATAATAAGTTGTTTGGATCAGGCTTGGTACCTGTTGCTCAGTGGCTAGGGTGCTAACCACATATACCGAAGCTGGTGGGTTTGAACCCAGCCCGGGACTGCCAAACGACAATGACAACTACAACCAAAAAATAGCTGGGTGTTGTGGCAGGCGCCTGTAGTCCCAGCTACTTGGGAGGCTGATGCAAGAAAACTGCTTAAGCCCAAGAGTTTGAGGTTGCTGTGAGCTGTGCCGCTATGGCACTCTACTGAGGGTGACATAGTGAGACTCAGTCTCCAAAAAAAAAAAAAAAAATAAGTTGTTTGGATCAAAATGGTGGGTTCATTCATTGTTTCATTCACTTATGACCATGGGGATGACAAGGAAACAAGAAAGTAATTGTGGGCTTTTGGCTAAAGCTCACTGTTTATAGCTGACAATTAGCATTTTTGGCTACCAACACTGGGACATGTGGAGATGAACCCAGGACTAAGAGAGAACCTATTACTTTTGTAAGGAAAGGGGATCCTGCCATCTTGCATAGTATAAATGTGTGCCTGTATGTGCCTGAAACCCCAACCTGAAACTCTTGGGCTCAAGCAATACAATCCATTTGCCTCTTGAGTAACTCGGACTACAGGCACCCACCACTCATGTGTGTACACGTGTTACCACTCAGCCAGTTTGCCAAGGAGTTAGTGCCATAATCAAAGCTACATACAGCCCTGGTGAAATGACAGTATTTGTATAAGGGCAATGATGGGGCCCTCTCCAAATTTTAGTGGAGAGAGATGAGGAATCCATACAGGTCTCCTCCCAGGGCTCTCTGAATCTCTACATTTACTGACACACACTTTGCAAAGAGCCAAAGAGATGCTTACTCATAGGCTAAGCTTAGAATAGGACATTTTACTTCTCTCTCAATTTCATTCTGCTGTTTGGTTTTGTTCTCTAGGCAACAGTCCCTCTAGCTCAGGCATTTCTAGAAATGAACAGATAATCAGAATACCTCTTGCTTTTTGTCTCCAAATTTAGCCATTATGAGCTGCCTGTGGCCTGCCTATTGAAGTCCCCATTCCAGGAAGTTCCCATTCCCATGGGGTTTCAGGTGAACTTCACCTTTGTTGAATTTCACCCTTTGCAAGGCAGCTAGGCAGGAAGGTTCTAACCTGGCGCTTGGCAAGCCACCTAACCTTTTACCTCCACTTCCGCAGCCCAGGGAAAGCGCATTGATCCACTGTCAGAGGTGATTCACTCCTTCTTGAGGCTCCCCAAATGTCAGCCTGTTATCTTGCTTCCTCAGAGACCCCTCCTTCCTTCCATCAGAACCCACTCAAGCTTCTACCATATGCATACAACAGTTGACAGTTCTGTAAATCCTGTCCATGTCTACTGGCTTATTTCTTTTGCTCCTTCACTAGCTAGGTGATATTAGGTCCTCACCCTCTCTCCATGCCTCTGTCTACTTGTGTGTAGTAGGGGGGAATAACAACACCCCTCAGAGGGACATGTGAAGTGCTGGACACAGAGCCCGATGCCCTATGGTAACTGCTCACCTCCATAGCTGCCATGATCCTTACACTCGGTTCCTGCTGACTGAGCCCTGGCACAGCCAGTTTCTCAGACCCAGAACACCCTTTCCTGCTCTGTCAGAAGAACTGGCACAGCCTACAGAGGGCTCAGCAAATGTTGCTATCATGATCACATCATTGTTATCATCAACACTGCAGACCTTGTCCCCTAGGCAGCCTTCCCAGGGAGAAGGAACTGGCCTACCATACATGTAGCCACCTTGGCTCTAGAACTTCTCTCCTCCCATTGTGATCTCTGCTTTGGAGTATATCTCCCCAATCAGCCTAAGAGCTCAGAGACCAGGGATCAAGCCAGGCTGCCCTGTGACACATGTGGTTCCAGGTGAGAATAGGCTCAGCAAGCTGGCTTCCCATTTTCTACCCTTTCTGTGGGCAGGAGGATGGCATCATCCCTCTCTCCTACAACTGGCCCAGGCAGAAAGCAAGCCGCTGGCCCTGCCCATGGCTGCTTGGGCTTCCCTCTTCTTTGTGTCTTCTTCCACGGCCTCGTCCTGCTTTCAGGAAAAGAGCTGGCATCTGCCATTTACACTCTGGTCTGCATTTGGCCCTGGTGCCCCTTGTGGAGCCTCTGGCAGTAGAAACCCATTTCTTAGGTGTCACCTGTAGCTCAGTGAGTAGGGCACTGGCTCTGTATACCGAAGGTGGTGGGTTCAAACCCGGCCCCAGCCAAATTGCAACAACAACAACAACAACAAAATAGCTGGCTCCAGCCAAACTGCAATAAAATAGGCTCAGTGCCTGTAACTCAGCAGCTAGGGCACCAGCCACATATACCAGAGCTGGCAGGTTCGAATTCAGCCCAGGCCTGCCAAACAACGACAGATACAACCAAAAAATAGCTGGGCATTGTGGTGGGCACCTGTAGTCTCAGCTACTTGGGAGGCTGAGGCAAGAGAATTGTTTAAGCCTAAGAGTTTGAGGTTGCTGTGAGCTGTGACACCACGGGACTATACTGAGGACGACATAGTGAGATTGTGTCTCAAAAAAAATATTAAAATTAAAATAAACAAACCAAAAAACCCCATTTCTCAATGCCAAGCTCCATTCTGTTCAAAAAACCCATTTCTCAGCCCCTGGCTCTATTCTGTTCCTCTCCATTTCTGCAGGGCCCCTAGCCCTGTTAATGGGCCTCCAGCCTCCTAAGCACCCTCCTTAGCACCCTAAGCCATGTAGCCTAAGCAGCCTACCAGTACCTGCTCTGTACATGGACCTGGGCCAGGTGCTAGGGACACTGAGTTGCCCTATGCCTGTCTGGTAGGAAGCAGACAGGTAACCAAGTGGCATGGGACAGGGCATCGAGAACCACAGTGGGGGAAGGAGAGAGGGCTGTGGGAGCCAGAGTAAGCCCCCAATCTGCCTGGGGGTGAGGGAGTTGAGACTTAGAAGAGTAGGAGGGAACTAGCAGAAATCAAGAAGCAACCAGATGCCAGGCATATGCCATTGTGTCCATGTGCCTGAGTTCGGGCCAGCCATAGCCTCTCCTGTAGGCCAGAGTGCCAGGGGCCCTGTGTAAAGAGCACTGGCCTCAGAAGGAGCAGTGGGGACCATGACAGCCCTGTGGCCCTTTCCAAGAGGGCCCTACGGAGTCAGGTTTCCCAGCGCCAACTCATGCCCAGAGCTCATGCTCCAGCTCAGTCCCCAGTTCTCATATAACCTGTGGGCAAAAATAGAACTAAGATTTGGCTCTGCCCCATGCCTGGCAGGACGGGGACAGGGCCTCTGGGTCTCAGCTCTGAAGATTCCAGGGCAGGGACAGGTTCTGACTTCAACCTTATCCAGTTGCAGGCTCCTCACTCCCCCAGGCCAGTACCCTTCAGCCCCCTCTTCAATCTTGTAGTCCTGGGTCATAGGATCTTAGGAGAAAGAAGGGAAAGCAAGGGTCCTCTTGGACTCCATCAGCTCTTATCCTCCTTCACTGAACAGGTGGGAAGACTGAGACCCAGATAAGATCAGACCTGCCCAAGGTCAACCAAAAAGTATGAGCAAAGTTATGGCTGGAACCCAGGCCTCCTTACCCTGAGTGGGCACCCTGGTCTCCCTCATGACTACCTTGGGTTAAGGTGAAGAGAGGGGTGGGGGCTGTGTCTCAGATGCCCCTCAGTAGGACAGCCAGAAAGCCAGCTTCCACTCTCAAGGAGAAGAATATAGAAGGATTTAGGCCTAGAACCTTGGCCTTACCTCACCCAGAGCCCCACTGCCCTCCTTTCATCAGAACCAGTGTCTGGGATGAAACAGACCAGCTTTGAGTCTTTAGGAACCATGTGACCCTGTGTAAATCATGAACCTTTCTAGGTCTCAGTCCCATCGTCAATAAAATGGAGATGAAAGTGGTGGTTGCCATGACAACTCAAGGTTAATACCCAACACACTGTAGCTCCTTGTACACACCAGCTGTTCCCAGAGTTAGCTGAGCCCCTTGCCTTCCGAATCCCAGCCCACCTAGCCCTCCACTCCTTCATTTTCCCTCTGCAACCTGACTCTACACATCACTTGGACAATAGGGAGTCTGACTGGTTCAAATCTTGCCTTTTTCTGGCCATCTCTCTATCAAATGAGGACAAAATACTATTACCTTGATCAGGGGCAGTAAGGGGAACTGAGAGATAAAGGGCTTGACAAAACATGGGACACATCACTGGCAACTGCTATTAAATACTAGTTGGGCCTCCAGAACCTTAGCTTGGGCCCTGGAACTCACTGAGCTGTTGCCCTCTCTGAGCCTTAGTTTCTGCCTCCTCCAAAGGCATGAGTCTCGGTTTCCTCATCAGTAAAATGGGATAACACCACCCCCTACACAGGGCCATTCAGGCACACACCTGCCCCATACCCCACCTCCTCAGATAGTGACCCAGGCACTCACTCTGCTGAACAGACTTGAGGCCTCGGAGGCAGGTGGCTACCAGCAGGAAACCACAGCCAGTGGGAGGCGTCCGGAACTCTCCAGCCAGGCTGCAGGCAGCCCCAAGGCAGAGGGGGCCCATGGCAGCCAACTGCAGCGGGTGGTGACGACGGCCCAGCAACAGTGCTGACAGAGCCAGTGTGAACAGTGGTGTGGTGGTGGTGACCAGCTGAGCTAGGTCCAGGGGCACGGCACTCAGTCCCATGTTGCCACAGGCCATTGAGGTGCCAAAGGTGAGGCTGAGCAGAAGCACACGGCAGCGGGTGCCACCTGGCATGGTGCGCTGTGCCCCCCAGTGGCATGCCAGCGCTGCTGCCAGCATGTGCAGTGCTGAGAGCAGCAGGGGCCGTTTGAAGCTGTGCACAGTGAAGATCCACTTGTTGAGGCTTGACATGCTGGCTCCTGCCAACAGCCACACCAGTGCTGCCATGGCCACCCGGGCTCGGCCAGGTTGCCCAAGGGCCTGGGGGCTCCCAGCAGGCCATTCGGAGGGCCTAGCCACCTGAGCACCACCAGCAAATGCTGCTGCTTCACCTGAGGTCATCCTGGCATCATGGTGCTCCAGTGGGCAGTGGCACATCCGCACCAGTGGGACTAGGGCAGAAAGTGGGCAGCCCAGTGACCAGCTCTGGGCTGCTAGTGAGCCCGGCTGTGGGCAAGGCCTGATCCGGGTTCCTCTGACCCTGTCCCCAGTCTCAGACAGGTGAAAGTAGTGTTTACTTGTGCCAGGCCTGTGCCGGGTGAGGTCTGGGAGCTGAGATGACCGTGCTCAAGACAGAGGCAAGGTCGTGGCTGCCTCTCCAATGCTCAAGCCCAGCACTACTACCCTGTGCCAGGAGGTCTCCACTCTCCGCGCCTAATGCCCAAGCGATGCTCTTAGATGGACTCCTCACTCCTTTTTTCTCTTCGGTCCTCAGGCCGTTAGGGTGGGGATCCAGACAGCGGGAACGCCTGCGTGCTCACGCCGTGACCAGGCCTGGGAAAGGTGATCAGGGTTCCATCCTCGCGGATGCCCGAAAGGTTGTGGCTGTTTCCTTCAGTGCCCAGGCAGTGAGGGTGACGTGCTCCGGCCCGTGCCAGACGGTGAGCTCGGCTTTGCTCCAACAGGGCCGACGCTTTAGCTTTGGCTCCCTGAGACTCCGACTGCTAGCTGTGGCTACGACTCCCGCAGCGGCTCCCGCCAGGTTCCAACCCAGGCCAGGACCCGCCCGGCCGCGGCCCCGCCTCCCCCGCCGCCACGGCCGCCGCCCGTGTCCTACCCGGAAAGTTGGGTTGAGTCTGGGTTCCCGGCCCGGCCCCGCCCCCGGAGTCTGGTGGGCTGGCTCCCTCCACCCCAACCCCGCCCGCTCCCGGCTCCGCCTCCACAGGCTGGCATTCTCCCATTGGCGCCTCCTGGGCTTTCGGCCTGAGAGTGTGCTCAGTAGAGCTCCCTTGGTTGGAGTGGTCAGCCTGTATGTCCCCGCCACAGGGGAGATCCAGGTCCTACCTCCCCAGCGCCAAATCGAGCCCCGCATAGAAACCAGCTCACAGTGCTGGAGACACTGGGGTATCCCACATGGCCGCCTAAGCTATCTTTAAGGAGCTGGACATTGAGCAGGGACTCAGGGCCCAAGACCAGTCTCAAGCCCACCTGATCTCTGGCCACAATGACTTCATGGGACCCCGGCATCCAGCAGAGCTAGACTATGGAGTTCCTTAAAGCCCCTCCAACGCCATCACCCCTCCCTAGCCCCAGCATCCTCCCCGCCTTCCAGCCCAGGGTGGAGTCCCCTCTTCCGCCAGCAGAGGGAAACTGAATCACCAGGGATACCCACAGCTGCGGAAGCAGGCAGCCAGCATCTACCCCCAGTCAGCAACTCCGGTCCTGTCCCTTAAGTGCTAGTAGCTGACTCATAACTGGACTTCCTGAGGTCCACTCCCTGCCTCCAGTCCTGGTGGGACAGAGCCCTGGTCTGGAAGGCAGAACAGCTGTCCCTGAGCCCTTGCCCCTGACTGGTCTTGTTTTTCTCACCCAAATCGACAGTCACTCTCTGAGCTCGGGGATGTAAATAGCGTGCCCCAGGGCAGGACAGGTTACCCAGATTACAGGCAGAGCCCTGGTCTCTAAGCTCTGGAATCCAGGTTCTCAAGGACCAAGGCCCAGCCAAGTGCCCAGTGTGAGCTATAATCCTCTTTCCTGTCATTGGGCTTCCTTCTTCTGAAGATCTTGCCCACTGAAATACGCTCACCCCTGGGTTGTAGTCTGATCAGTAAGTCCTTAGTGACCGCAACCTGCCTGGTGGATAAGACCTCAAATAGGAACCACTTAGGCCGGCTCTTGGCGCCCTCTGGTGGTCAGATTCCTGAATGGCTGCAAATGTCCTGCAACTTATCACACTCCCTTAGGTGGGGTTAAAACCCCCAGCCTCACAGGAGATCTGCTCCAACATTCTGTCAGCGGTGGGCCAGGAATCTACATTGTCATATTTGCCGTGGTGATTCTGAGCCTGCTCGAGCTTGCAAATCATTGCTGAAATAGTCCAAATTGCAGGGCAAGGATTGCAGCTGGGGTAATTTCCAGGCCGAGAATCAAAAACTAGTAACATTTAGACTGGGTTTCTCCAGAAAGGACTGTGGGAGAGAAACTGAGCTGCCAAGGAGACAGCTCCCCCTCTATTTCCTGAGAAACCAAGAAACTGGGGTGCCTAGAGCTTATATTCTTTTGGGAATTTGTCAGTTTTCCAGTAAGTTTCCCTCAATAAAAAGCAATATTTTTTTTCACTTTTGCCCTTGGTAGAGTGCTGTTGCCTCATACCTCACGGCAACCTCAAACTCCTGAGCTCAAGTGATCCTCTTGCCTCAGCTTCCCAAGTAGGTAGGATTACAGACATCCTTCACAACACCAGGCTAGTTTTTCTATTTTTAGTAGTGATGAGGTCTTGGTCTTGCTCAGGCGGGTCTGGAACTCCTGAGCTCAAGCACTCTACCCACCTCGACCTCCCAAAGTGCTAGGATTAACAGGCATGAGCTACCACACCCGGTCCAGCAATAATAATTTTTAAAAACAAAAACACCCTTGGCCTTTCTCAGAGCTCAGTTGACAGGGATTAGGGGGTAATAGAAATCTGTCTACACCTCCTTTAAGGCCACTGGGAAATAGCTCTCAGCTACCCTGTCAGGTGAGGGGCTACCACCAGAAGAATAGGGATGAATCAAATGAGGCCTGAGCAGTCCCTGATGGAGGAGAAAGAACTGTACACCCCGGGGTTGGTGGAGGCTGAGGGCAGAGCCCAGAGCAGGTGACTCAGCAGCAGCCATCCCAGATGGGAGCCCAGAAGGGCCAGGGCCCAGCAAAACATACCACCACTGGCCACCAGGTCAAATGACTTTACCCATTCCATTCCTCACATTTACTCCTAGGGACAGGGGCAGGATTATCCCTCTCACAAATGAGCTGTAGGCAGGGAAGGAGGCAAGGTGCCCAGGGGCATGTAGCTTGAGTAGTGGCAGGAGGTTTGGATCAGGTCTGTGTGGGCTCCAGCCTCCACCTGCACACAGTAGGCCTATCTCTCAAGGGGCTATTTCCACATGGGGCAATGAGAGACAGCAGCACACAGCTTCAGGGTGGAGAGCAAGGGCTCCTTTGCATTCCTTGGGGTCTACCTGAATGCCCAGAGTGACCTGCCCTTGCTCCGAGGCTCCCCAGATCCCTCAAATCTGAATGCTGCTCTTTGGAGGCCAAAGTATGCTGCCCTGGGAAGCGGGCAATGTGGAGAAGGACTTGGGGACACTGGGAGGGGAGAGGAATCCATTTCTACCAACTGTGGGATGGGATGATCATGTCACTCCTGGGGCAGTTTCCCCATGCATGATCCATGATGAGATCATATGCTGTGTAAACTGAAGCACATCCCAACTGCTGTGAGTTAGGAAACAGAAAGATGTGGCTTGGTTGAAGCCCTACTGATTTATCAGTAAATGCAGGCCAAACACAAACCTGTCCTGGTCACTGAGGGCAGGCCTCTGTTGATCAGACTCTTATTCTGTTCAGCAGGCCCTGCACTAAACATGACAGTCCTCTTACTCATATGCCTTCAGGTAGTCCCTGCCAACTGGGCCAGATTAGACCCCTAACGAAGTGTCACAGTGAGCCAGTGGCTTTGGGACATAGACTGGGAAAGTAAGAGGGGTATGGGGATTTGAACTGAAAGGTGGCAGAATGCCTGCTTAGGGTGGTAAGCTGACTTCAGGTAGTGGAGGTGACAGAGGGGAGGAGCCCTGAGCCCCAACTTGAATTTCACTCCCGTCCTTAGCTGCTATTATTAAAGTTATATCCTTTGGTTTGAAAAGGATTTAGTAGTTTCCTGTTCCTCACAGCCAGACATACCCCAACTAAGACAATCCCTCCTGAGGATCTAACACAGCTCAGGGACTCTTGAAATCCCAGTGCAGAGGGATCCCCTGTGGTTATCCTCCACCCTCCCTCTAGTCTGGACTGAGATCAGCTATATCCTAGACTCCCCAGTGTGGGAAAGGCCTACGGTTTCCTCAGGCTGAGTCTCAGGAAGCAGGAAGGTGGCACAATGGTATAGTGGCAAATGTGGGGCACTGGGATCTGTGGCTGAGGATCTCAGCTCTGCCATCTACAGGCTGTGTGTGGCCAGATGCAAGCTGGTACCCTCTGAATCTCTACCCCTGCACTGCCAGCTTCTTAAAGGAGAGCGATGGGTCCCCCTTGCCATGATTAAGGAAGGCAAATGAACAAGCACTTGGGGTTTCTGGGTGCAGACATTTCTCCGTCAGGCATGGCAGCTTTTGAGGCTCCCTTGAGCTCAGGAGTTCAAGACCTCATCTCTACTAGAAATAGAAAAACTAGCCAAGTGTGGTGGCGGGTGCCTGTAGTCCCTGTTAATTGGGAGGCTGAAGCAAGAGGATCTCTTGAGCCTAAGAGTTTGACATTGCTGAAAGCTATAATGCCATGGCACTCTACCCAGGGTGACAGAGTGTGACTCTGTCTCAAAAAAAAAAACAAAACAAAAAAAGTGGGGCAGTTTTGCATTTGGTTTCCTGATACCCTCATGTTTGTTTCAATATAAAAGAATGTTTTATTATTACTTTTTCTTTTTAGAGACAGAGTCTCACTTTATCACCCTTGGTAGAGTGCCGTGGCATCTCAGCTCACAACCTCCAACTCCTGGGCTTAGGCGATTCTCTTGCCTCAGCCTCCTGAGTAGGTGGGACTACAGGCGCCTGCCACAATGCCTGGCTATTTTTTGTTGCAGTTTAGCCAGTGCCTGGTTCTAACCCGCCACCCTTGGTATATGGGGTTGGCACCCTACCCACTGAGCCACAGACACTGCCCTAGTTTCCTTATATGTAAAGCAGATATAAAAACAAAATTATCAACAATCTCACAGATTTGTGCAAGACAATGTCTAGCAAGTAGGTACTCAAGAAATAGTAGTCAATGTTGCCACTGCCTGAGTCACTCCCCCAATACCCAGGCACCCTCTTCTCCACTCCTTGCTCCTGTACTCTCTTTCTAGCATGAGGCACCAGGACACTGCAGCATGTGCACAGACAATGCTTTAATCACATTGGAGGCAGCAGCCCCACTGAGACCTTGCTGGCTACCATGCCATGACCAGCTCTGGGGCCACCACCCTGACTGCAGAGGGAAGAGCTGAGGTCAGGGCCACAGCCCCTGAGTGAAGAGACTG